GTGGTCATGTGACCGGGTGTGTGTGTATGTGTGTGTATTGTAACTTTGAATATGGATCACAAGTCCCTTTTTCAGGATCCAGAGAGTATCTGGCAATTTGATCATGCAGTTTTGAGGAACTGTAATCAGCATTCAGGGTGTGATGGGTCAGGGGTTAAAGATGCTGAGGGTGTCAGCTGGAAAGGTGACAGCCCGGGTTCAAGGCCCAAGCTTCACGCAATGGGATGAGTTCCCGTTACTCGTCCCAGCTCCTGCCCACCTCGCAGTTCGAAACATGCAAATGCGAGTAGATTAATAGGTACCACTTCGGTGGGAAGGTAACAGAGTTCCGTGTGCCTTTGGTATGTAGCCATGATGGCTACATGACCACAAAAGCATCTTCGGATAATGCTGGCTCCCTCTGTTGAGAAACAGAGTTGAGCACCATGCTTTAGAGCAGGGGTATCAAACTCAATTTCATTGAGGGCCGCATCAGCATTGCAGTTACCCTCAGGGGGCTGGGTGGGTGTGGCCAGGGTAGGTGCGGCCTACTGGGTGGGTGTGGATGGAGTGGGTGTGGCCTACTGGGTGGGCGTGGCCAGCTCTACATCGTTCGCGTCAAGGGTGCCTGTGGGGGCCTGGGCAGGAGTGGGACAGATCTGAGGGTCTCTGGCAGAAGGGGGTGGGACCGGGGCAAGCGCCAAGGCATGGTCCATTTCTTCATTCCTCATAAAGGGTGACACCTCCCCAGCAGGCACCCAGGGGGTGGGACCGACACGGCAGGGGCTGGTTCCTCGCTGTTTCCAGACGGCCTTGTGGAGCTAAGACTGAATGCGTTTCAGCATAGATGGCCACCACAAAATTGTACATTGGCTCCCGGCCGGCCTGGGCCAGGGCCAAGGCAGCGGGGGCCGTTCCCTCACTGTTTCCAGGATGGCTTTGCGGGCCACATGAAACCACTTCGCGAGCCGCATCCGGCCCGCGGGCCTTGTGTTTGACATGTCTGCTCTAGAGTTGGACATGACTGACAGGGAAACCTTTACTTTTAAACCGCATTCAACACACACTTCAAAATTCAGAGGGAAGGAAGCAAGTTTACATTCTAAAGACTGAGGAGGTGCTACTACAAATTTAGAGCAATTCTAAATTTCACAGCTTTTCTGGATGGCATTCAATTGGGGGGGGGAGGCTTTTTCTTCCATGGAGTATTATTAGCTAGGTGGATTCTGCCCTCCAGTGGAAAAGACTGGATATACTTTTTTCCCAAATATTTTTGCACACCTTCTGTCCAACTCAAACCAGCACATCAAGAATTACCATTAGAGCAGCCTGTATGTATACAAAAGGCGCTCCTACTGCAGGTGTTTCATGGGGTAGGATAAAGAGTCAAGATGGTGGCCGTGATGGTGTGATGAGCACACACACACACACACACACACACACAAAGAGAGAGAGAGAGACACACACAGAATCAGGTAGAGTCAAGACATGATAACAGTATTCCAATATCTCAGGGGCTGCCCCAAAGAAGAGGGAGTCAAGCTATTCTCCAAAGCGCCTGAAGGCAGGACAAGAAGCAACAGATGGAAACTAATCAAGGAGAGAAGCAACCTAGAACTAAGGAGAAACTTCCTGACAGTTACAACAATTAACCAGTGGAACAACCTGCCTCCAGAGGTGGTGAATGCTCCAATGCTGAAAGTTTTTAAGAAGAGACCGGACAGCCATTTGTCTGAAATGGTATAGGGTTTCCTGCCTGAGCAGGGGGTTGGACTAGATGACCTCCAAGGTCCCTTCCAACTTTATTATTATTATTATTATTATTATTATTATTATTATTATTATTATTATTATTATTATTATTAATGTTCCAGTTAAGAAGATTTATTGCTCAAATCTATACCCAAGAATCTAGTCAACTAAAGGTCAGCACTAAATTGTTAATAGATAAGGGCCAGCAGAATTCAAGGGGCGACTGGACTGGACCATTTGTGGACATGTAACGATTCTAGGCTGAACCCTCTCTTGACTCTGTCTCCAAGCTAAGGAGATTTTTTTCTGACAGTGGGAAAAATTAATCAATGGAATAGCTTGCCTCCTGTAGTTGTGGGTGTTCCATCACTGGAAGTTTTCAAAAACAGACTGGACATCTATTTGACCAGGATAATAATAATAATAATAATAATAATAATAATAATAATAATAATAATAATAATAATAATAATAATAATAATAATAATAATAATAATAATAATAATAATAATAGTAGTAGTAGTAGTAGTAAAGTTGGAAGGGACCTTGAAGGTCATCTAGTCCAACCCCCTGCTCAGGCAGGAAACCCTATACCAGCGATGGCGAACCTTTTAGAGACCGAGTGCCCAAACTGCAACCCAAAACCCACTTATGCATCGTGGAGTGCCGGGTGGGTGTGGCCCATTGGCTGGACGTGGCCCACTGGGTGGGCGTGGCTGCGGTGGTAACGGCAGATGGGGCGGGACTAAAAAGTTCAATCAATCAATTCTAACTTTGCAAGATCTTTTTTTCCCCCGCAAGAAGTTGAAATTGATTGATTNAAACTTCCAGTGTTGGAGCATTCACCGCTTCTGGAGGCAGGTTGTTCCACTGGTTAATTGTTCTCACTGTCAGGAAGTTTCTCCTTAGTTCTAGATTGCTTCTCTCCTTGATTAGTTTCCACCCGTTGCTTCTTGTCCTGCCTCCAGGTGCTTTGGAAAATAGCTTGACTCCCTCTTCTTTATGGCAACCCCTGAGATACTGGAAGACTGCTATCATGTCCCCCCTCGTCCTTCTCTTCGTTAAACTAGACATACCCAATTCCAGCAACCGTTCCTTATATGTTTTAGCCTCCAGTCCCCTAATCATCTTTGTTGCTCTTCTCTGCCCTCTTTCTAGAGTCTCAGCATCTTTTTTACATCGTGGTGACCAAAACTGGATGCAGTAATTCCAAGTGTGGCCTTACCAAGGCCTTGTAAAGTGGTATTAACACTTCACGTGATCTTGATTCTATCCCTCTGTTAATGCAGCCCAGCACTCTGTTGGCCTTTTTGGCAGCTGCAGCACACGGCTGGCTCCTATTTAAGGGATTGTCCACTAGGACTCCAAGTATAAGGTCTCCTGCCTTGGGCAGTGGATTGAACTAGAAGATCTCAGGGTCCTTTCCAGCCCTATAGTTCTTGTGAAGACAACATAATAAGATGCAAGTGAGGATGGTGAAAATCTGCATTATAATATGAGAAACCTGCCTGCTGAAAGTCTGCAAATAATGTATTGGACTAATGGATAAATGAATTGGGAGCTGGACTAGAAGACCTCTAAGGTCCCTTCCAGCACTCTGTTTCTATGTTCTCTTCTTCTCCTACACACCGTTGTTTTATACAAGTCGCCCGTACGTCTATACCGACTGCTCTCTTGACCTTTTTTGACTACAGCAGGAGTCTTCAAAGTGGCCCTTTTATCACTTGTGGACTTCAACTCCCAGAATTTGATGAGTTCCCCATCTATCCCCTCGTCCAGATCGTTGATGAAGATGTTGAAGAGCACTGGGCCCAGAACAGAGCCCTGGGGCACCCCACTACACACTTCCCTCCATGTAGATGCGGTTCCCTTGAGGACCACACGCTGAGTACGGCTGGTCAGCCAGCTACGAATCCATCTGGTAGTGATGCTGTCTAACCCACATTTTTCTATCGAGACTGCTATGTCTACAGAATGCACTCAGATTGTTCACCCAGGAATCCATTCTCCAGTTTCATGTAAATACATTAAATAAGCTCACCAGAGGTTGGATTTGTACGGGAGGCTAAGCAACCAAAGAGCAAATAAAATCTAGCCAAATTCAAAACAACCCAGCATGTTTGTGTACCACCCAAAGCCATGCTTAATAATTAGAGAGTCAGTTTGATCTAGCCTGGTGCTAGAAACCAGGAGACCGTGAGTTCTAGTCCTGCCTTAGGGCAGGAAAGCTGGTTGGCTCTGTCTGTATTCGGGTCAGAAACATTGACAAAGCTAACCGAAAGGTGCTTCTAGGTCGAATGGATTTGCCGGGAATAACACGGTTGGCCATGCTGAATTGCCAAAAGTGATGCAATCTTTGGGGAAGCTCCTTTCATGACCCCCAGCTGGTTGGGTGAATTTGGGCCAGTCCCTCTCTCTCAACCCAACTTACGTCAGAGAGTTATTGTGGGCAAAATAGGAAGAGGAAAGAACGAGACTCGTTCACTGCCTAGAGTAGTGATGGCGAACCTATGAGACGCGTGCCACAGGCGGCACTCAGAGCCCTCTCTGTGGGCATACGTGCCATGCCCCGGAGATGGCAACCGTCTCTCTTCAACCAGACACCCGCTAACTCGCTGAGGTCCCACATGGCCGGATGCATCCCAGCATGGCTGGTTTCCCTCCCTCCCCACCCCGTCCCATCCCTTCTGGCCTCACATGCTCTCCTTTTCCTGGGCACGACCCACTGCATCTATGCTTCTCTGAACTGCTGGTGGTGGGCTGTGGGGCACCAGAGTGCGCCGGTCGAGGGGCCGGCAGGCTGTGGTGGCTGACTGGCCTCTGTGTGTGGGGGCCAATGGTGTCAGGCAGCAGCTTCCCCAGCCCCTGCCCCGCCTTGCCCTGCGGCAATGGCATCCCTGCTCTGCCTCACCTTGCCTTGCCTCCCCCTGCAGGATGGGCCTCCTGCCCACTGCCCCACCTGCCAGAGACCCCCTGGATCTCCCCCAACCCTGCCCGGCCCCCACAGGCATCCCTCCCCACGAGCAACATCGAGGTGACCACGCCCACCTTGGCCACACCCACCCAGTCTACCATGACCACCACAGCCACACCCACCCAGTGGGCCACGCCCACCTGGCACCCGGCGATAAATAAGTGGGTTTTGGGTTGCAAGTTTGGGCACTCGGGTCTCTAAAAGGTTCGCCATCACTGGCCTAGAGTCATTTTTTTTAAAAATAGAATAAAGGTGGGAAATAAATAACAGGGAACAGGGAGTTTATACTTTTAATGCCGTACTAAATCAATACATTCTTACAGAAACAGTTAAGAAATGATTCCAGAAAGTTATTTTATTCTCTTTAAAATTAAAAAAAAAAACAAGGCAAGTCCAAAACGCACACATTGTACATTATCCTTTTCACTCAAAATGATCTGCTTTAAAATCTCATACAAGTTAAGAATTGGGACGAGCGTTTGCAAATATGCTTTAAATAATTCCTCCCCCCCCTCTCCTCCCCATAGGAAGCTGCCAGTCTCTCAACAAGAGAAACCTCGAAATGGTTTTATCTTCCGTCTTTTGAAATCACCGGAGTTAGGAGGAGATCTCCAAGAAGCTACATCCAGAAGTTTGGCAAAATTGTTGGGTTCGTTGTAGGATGCAGAGGAAAGAAGCGAGTCTTTTTTTTTTGGAAACGGGCAGCCTATCATCAAAGTCAAATAAATATATAATTAGATAAAGAAATAAATAAATGAAGCACCCTCAGTACATTTATTCAAATCCTCGTTTGGCTCCTTGTTCCCTCCACAGGCAGAGTAAAGTCTTTCTGGGCCGAAGGAGCTTGTCCAGAGGAAAAAGTTCCTCGTTGAATGTTCTGAAAAAGGCAAGAAATTTCCTGGTGACAGATGTGCCTGCCACCTCTGGGCCTTGCCTTAATACAGGCCATCCCCGACTTACAACAGTTCATTTAGTGACCGTTCAAAGTTACGACGTCACCGAAAAAAGGGACTTAGGATCACTTTTCGCCCTTAAGACTGTTCCAGCACACACACACACCCCCCCAGGATCACGGGATCAAAATTCAGACGCTTGATGACGGACTCATATTTATGACCGTTGCTGTGTCCTGGGGGAGGGGGTCATGGGATCCCCTTTTGCGAGCAAAGTCAAAGGGGGAGCCCGATTCATTTAACAACCGCCCTACTGACTTAACAACTGCAGGGATTCGCTTCCCCACTGTGGCAAGAGAAGTCGTAATATGGGGCCAAACTCACTTAACAACTGTCTCAGCTTAGCAACCTAACTGTCGGGCTCAATTGCGATGATAAGTTGAGGACTACCTGAATTGGAGGGAATGAATGACCGCAGATAATTGGGAATACGTCTGCCTAATTTCCCTGCGGCTGTCTCACCATCAAGGCAATGGGATAAAGCAGTGATGGCGAACCTTTTAGAGACTGAGTGCCCAAACTGCAACCCAAAACCCACTTATGCATCGTCGGGGGCCAGGTGGGCATGGCCCATACGGTGGGCGTGGCTGCGGTGGTAACGGCAGACTGGGTGGGACTAAAAATTTCAATCAATCAATTCCAACTTTGCAAGATCTTTTTTTTCCCCGCAAGAAGTTGAAATTGACTGATTGATTGAACCTTTTTTTTTTTTTGCACACGGCGGCGGAGGCCTAAAGTGAAAAGGTTTTATAAAACCCAGCTGAAGGCCTAGGACTGGGGCGATGGCATGCGTGCCCACAGAGAGGGCTCTGAGTGCCGCCTCTGGCACCCGTGCCATAGGTTCACCACCACTGCTCTATTCTATTCTATTCTATTCTATTCTATTCTATTCTATTCTATTCTATTCTATTCTATTCTATTCTATTCTAAGCAATGAAAGCTTAGCCAGCAGCTGGGCATCTACTGGCTAAAACAGATGAATCTCAGTCAGCTAGCTGTGGGCTAGCTTGGGGGGGGGCAGGAGTAGACTGGGATAACCATCTCTGAGCTACCCAGTTAAGGGGCCAAATGGCAACAGAAAGGAAAGCTGAACTCTCCACCATGAACCTCTGTGTCATGCCTCCGTAGGAGCCTGAATCTGATGAGGAAAATGAGCTGGAAGGGACCCAATATAGGCCGAGGGAGAGGTGTCTGTGGCTTCAGAGGAATGTGGGGAAGAGCAGGCCGAGGCAGGCCAGGGCCCTTCAGGAGTGGAACAGGAGGAGAACAGGAGAGGCAGAGTTCAGGCGATGAGCAAGGGCCACCCCCTCCTGATCCTAGAGCACGGAGAATGGAGAGAAGGAGGGAACAACGCAGGCAGGCCCAACTACTCGGGAGGAGAGCGTCCCACCCCTCTACAGAAGGCACACCTGGAGACTGAGACTTAAGGAGACGCTGTGGGAAGAGGCATTTGTCGGGAACAAACACTGATTCCTTGGGAGTTTTGTGTTTTTGTTGCTGATCTCTTGTTCTGTGTTGTGATTTCTGCTTGGAAACCCGGAAACTCTAATCATTGGACTGAGTGACAACGGTGCTTGGATGTTCAAAGACCTCGGATTGTATTTTGGCTTCTCTTCCGAAACTGCTCAGGCAAGCGTGTATTTCCACAGACTCATTAGATTTTGGATGTATGTGTCATTCCTTGTTATCTCCGTAGCCTTGAGTAAATTACTCTTCTAATCAGACCGTGTGTGAAACTACTTGCAGCCAGAGGCAGCTGAAGGTGTGTGTGTCTTCCTTTGTTTTGAAGCTTGCCAGAAATGTGGGAGCATTTGGGGGAAATTTGGAGCAATTAAATGGCGGTTTGGATTGCCAGCTGACTGCAGTGCCTCGTTGCTGTGCCCTGGGTCATCACACTCTGCTATAGCATATCAGGCCTTGAAAGTCTGTATTAAGTATCACTTACTCCTCCTCCTCCTCCTCCTCCTCCTCCTCTATTCATGTTGGAAACACCTACCAAGGCGCTTCTGGGTTGAAAAGATTAGCCAGTGACATCACTGTTGCTCAGGGGACACCCAGTTAGGGGCTCCTGTTATTTTCCCACCAAAGTGGTACCTATTTATCTACTTGCATTTACATGTTTTCGAACTGCAAGATTGGTAGAAGCTGGGACAAACTGACAAGTGCTCCCTCTGTCACACGGCTCGCGCTCAAGTTTTGAACTGCCGAGCTGTCAACCTCTCAATGGTCTTCCGACTCGGCAGTCTAACCGCGTGGGCCCCCGTGGCCCACTTCTTTAGAGGGCCCAGTGCTTTATACCAGTAGAAGGAACACAGATCAACAAGATTTAACCCTAGACCAGCAATCAAGTAAACCAGTGGTTCTCAACCTTTTTAATGCCGCGACCCCAACCGGTTGTAAGTCAAGGATTAAACCAGTCGTAAGTCGAGGACTAAACCGGTCGTAAGTCGAGGACTAAACCGGTCGTAAGTCGAGGACTACCCAACCGGTCGTAAGTCGAGGACTTTCCCTGCCCGGGAGCACCACGCATGCGTGGTTCCGCCCCCTGCGCCGGCCGAGGCGTAGCTGGCAAGCGGCAGAGACGGAGCAGGCCGACCACCAGCTGGCCCAGCCCAAGGGAGGAAAGGCACCCGCCGGAAAAGGGGAAAAAATGGACAAAAAAAATGGCGGACAGCCTTGCTTGGCGACCCCCGTGAAATGGTCAATCGACCCCAAATGGGGTCCCGACCCACAGGTTGAGAACCACTGAAGTAAACGATACCAATCTCTCTTCTGTTAAGGATCCAATGCTTTGCTTACTTTTCAGGTCAGGACAGGAAGGCCTTCATACTGTCCCGGATGTCCCCTCTGCAGATGGGGCAGCGGCTCAGATTAGGAGCACATTCGGCACACACCACTAAGTGGCCACAAGGAACCAGCACAATGGACACGTCTTTGTCCATGCACACTTTGCACATCCGTTCCTCCTGAAGCTGGCGCAGTTTTTCTTCTATGCTGGCGGTGGATTCTGAAAAAAGAGAGGAGACATCATGTAGGAGGCAGTTGGAAGCTGGATTCTCTGGCCTTGCAATCCACAATAAAAGATTGTGAAGTTTGGTCCATAATGCATTATGAATGAGCTCCACTTTAACTTTAACTTATGGGCAATATACAGAGAAGAGCAGCAAAGATGATCAGGGGACTGGAGGCGAAAACATACAAGGAACGGTTGCTGGAATTGGGTATGTCTAGTTTAACGAAGAGAAGGACGAGGGGGGACACGATAGCAGTCTTCCAGTATCTCAGGGGCTGCCCCAAAGAAGAGGGAGTCAAGCTATTCTCCAAAGCACCTGAAGGCAGGACAAGAAGCAACGGATGGAAACTAATCAAGGAGAGAAGCAACCTAGAACTAAGGAGAAACTTCCTGACAGTGAGAACAATTAACCAGTGGAACAACCTGCCTCCAGAAGTGGTGAATGCTCCAACACTGGAAGGTTTTAAGAAGAGACTGGACAGCCATTTGTCTGAAATGGTGTAGGGTTTCCTGCCTGAGCAGGGGGTTGGACTCGATGACCTCCAAGGTCCCTTCCAACTTTTATTATTATTATTATTATTATTATTATTATTATTATTATTATTATTATTATTATTATCATCATCATCATCATCATCATCATCATCATCATCATCATCATCATCATCTATCAGGGTGGATGGACCCAGTTACAAAAGAAATGGCTATCCTTTTGGAAGACCTGAAGGACAAAATTGGGGATGGATCCCTTCTGGAGAAAAAAAAAACACCTCTGTGGTGCTAAGAGTTGACACTGACTTGATGGCAAATCATAACGATTCTAGGACCATGCATTTGATTTAGACTTAGGGCGCTTTCAGACTGTCAGGTGTTTCCATTCCTCAAACACCCAAAGCAGTTTGAAAGCAATCTGCAGCGGTCCTCTGTTCTGCTGATTTGATATCCTGAGAGCATTGCAAATCAACTCAATGTAGCCACTATTACTGTCCTGGTCCTTCATGCCCATCCCGCGCAAAGGTAATTCAGAAAAACGAACCTAGCAATCTGGCATTTTACAGAGGTATTTTCTCCTGCCGAAGAGAAACAAACAACTAATTAAAACATTTGTGACAACATCACGTGAAGTGTTAATACCACTTTACAATGCCTTGGTAAGGCCACACTTGGAATACTGCATCCAGTTTTGGTCACCACAATGTGAAAAAGAGGTTGAGACTCTAGAAAGAGTGCAGAGAAGAGCAACAAAGATGATCAGGGGACTGGAGGCTAAAGCATATAAGGAACGGTTGCTGGAATTGGGTATGTCTTAGTTTAATGAAGAGAAGGACGAGGGGGGACATGATAGCAGTC